CCGACAGGGACCAGGGTCACTGTCACAGGGGACAGGGAGAACACACAGGCCGAAGGACAGGGTCTCCACAGACACTGGTCACGGCAGGAAGATACAGATGATGTGCTGTGGCTTCTAATGACCTTGAGCAACCCGGGTCCAGGAGGATGCGTGCACACATCTACCCACCCGGCCTTTATCAACTCCTCCACACCACTCTGCGGCCCCTGTCCTGTCTGTCTGTCCCTCCACCCCACATTTACAGAACATGGCTTATGCACTAACGTAGCCACTGTCAGGATGGGGATCTGTGCTGGGTCACTCCAACCGGGTACTGGCTGAGACCCCGCCCATTCCTCATTTCCCTGTCCCCCCCACTCCCCTCCCCTCAGGTTCCCGGAGCCACAGCAGCTGTGGCCCACACCCTTCCCCAGTGCCCACCCACTTGCAGGCATATCAGCTGGGGCCTTTGCATCTCCAGCTGCTCCAAGGACCCTTCTGCAGACCCTTTGGGCTGTCACCCTTGCTTTCTTTGCGTATCTTCTCTCACTTCAGAGCATAAAGTCTAGGCTATGGCGCCTGGCAGGCTGAAGCCAAGCACCCTGGGCCACACAGGGATACATCTCCAGATGAAACCGCTCAGGAAGAGGTGGGTAGGGCGTGGCAGACACGCCCATTTGATCCCAGCACTCAGGAGGTGGAGGAGCTGTCTCTGTGAGTTTGAGGCCTTCCTGAATTCCATCCTTAAATTCTGGGTCACCGCAGGAAGGACCCCTGGGGCTTACTGGCTGGCCAGGCAACTACTCCACAAACTGCAGAGCAGTTTACATCTTCCACCAAGCTAGAGAGCTGAATTCAAGCCCCTGGGACCCACAAGGTGGAGGAGAGAACGGACTCCAACAAGTTGTCCTCTGACCTACACATATACACGCACGCTCACTAAATAAATACATGGATAGACAGAAAAATAAGTAACATTTGAAAAAATAAAGTGGCCAGGTAGTGGTGGCACATGCTTTCAATCCCAGCACTGGGAAGGCAGAGGCAGGTGGATCTCTATGTGTTCGAGGCCAGCCTGGTCTACAAAGCGAGTGCAGGACAGCCAATGCTACACAAAGAAACCCTGTCTTGAATAAAAATAAATAGATAGATAGATAGATAGATAGATAGATAGATAGATAGATGAATAAATAAATAAATAAAGGAAAGGAAAGAAGGAAGGGAAGGAAGGAAAGAAGGAAGGGAAGGAAGGCAAGAAGGAAACGGAAACCAAGCAACCAAGAAAGTAAGGAAAACCAAAGCGGACGCCTCCTGCGGAGTGATCCGGAGACTGGCCCCTGAGCTCTGCACGCACATGCACAGTGCACATAAATAGGCATATTAAAAAGTAGAATTTACTTAGTAAATGCGAAACGAGCCGAAACCAACCTTGCGCCTGCTGGGAAGCCGGGGTCAGGGAGGCCGGCTCCTTAAACTGCGCTGTCTGGGATGACTCACCCTCCCTCCGGGACAAGCAGGTGGGCAGGGCGCTGCCTGACCCAACAGGGCACCTGCGGAGAGGCAGCTGAGCCCGCACCCCGCGGGCGTGTGCCAGCCCCGAGCCTTCGCGCGTGCTGCTCTGGCTGGCGGGGGCGCCTGGGCCGTGCCCGCCGGGGTGAGGAGTCCAGGGGACGGCGCGGCCATTGTGTGGGGACCTGAGGCTGGACCGGGAGGCTGACAGCCTGGGACTCACTCCCCGAGCCTCCTGCCTCAGCTCCGGGAGGTCTCCATGAGCAAGGTCACGGGGCGCAGAAAGGGGCCCTCCCGGACGGCGGCCAAAAGAGACGCCCAGCTCTGCGGAGCGGAGGGCGGCGGCGAGGCTGCAGGCCTCGGTATTTTTAGGCGCTGAACGAAGGCCTGAAGTATGTCCACGGCCCCTCCCGGAGCAGGCTGGGTGGCTGCTTGGGAGCCTGGTTCCAGCACAGGCGGGATGGGACAGAGGGTGTGAGTCACTGCTTGGTGGCTTTGAGTGGGGAGGATCCACTCGAGGACAGCGGCCTGTTGCTGCCCCCACAGGGGTCAGCCTAAAGGGAAATTGCCGCAGTTTGTCTTCACCAACTCCAGTTTGTGAAAACTGAGGTCTGGACAGAGTGAAGGTTCCCAAAGATGCCACTCTCAGATGGCTCCGTGCATTTATTAGTGCTTACCCGGCTGGCCCTGCTGTGCATTTATTGATCACTCGTTGCATACCAGGCCAGCCTTATGGAGATTGCCTGAGCACCTGCTCTATGCCAAAATGGTCACAACGATGTCACGTATTTACCAGGTCCTTGCTGTACACAAGGCTAGTGGCTCATGCGCACCACACAGTTACTTAGCACCTGCCGCACACCAGGCTGATGCTGGGGCACCGATCACTGCACATTTCTGGGACACAGGGAGCGGTTCACTCTCAGGGTGTACTTACTGGTCACCTACTACATTCTGGGCTTGCTCTGGGGCGATCAGTACATCACCTACTGAGGTGCAGGTGCAGCAAGGAAACTGAGGCCCAGTGGGGTGAAGTTGTCCAGGACCCTGCCCACATGCCCCCAGGCCTGTCTGCGCACAGCTGCTGGGCTGAGGGAACCACAGGCCTCACACAGGCTGAGGGAGCCACACCCTGGCTGGGAGAGGAATTTGTTTGTAAGTTTATCACTGAAAAGCCCAGGCCATTCCACACAGGCAGAGGAGCCCACAGGAAAGAAAGTTCTAACAAGAGCCAGGACCTCACTCTTCTGGTCCTGGCCAGTTCTTGGCACCTTAAGGAAGCTGAGCCCCGAGGCCACTGGCCAAATTCTAGGTGAGAGAGGGAAGCTGTGTCACTCACCCGCTCTGGGTGTGTCTGTTGTCATTTTTCTTGGGACAGGGTCTCACTGTGCAGACCAGGCTGGCCTGTGCACCACCTGGCACTGTTACAGAGACACCTGTCCCCCCCTCCCCCCGCAAGTCACTCTGTTCCCAGACAGTGAGCGAGGGTGCTTCCCTCGTGGGCAGTCTCAGGAGCCTTGCAGTGAGCTAGGGACGGGTAGGTCCGCCCCCTGGAGCCTTCATCCCTTCATCTGAGGACTGGAATTACCCAGGGCCTGAGCAGGCCCAGCCTGGGTCTCTGTAACTGAGGGTGTATGTATGGTATGTGTGTGGTGGTGTGGTGTATGAGGGTGTGCATCTCTGTGACTGAGGGGCTATGTGTCTGGGGAGCTATGGAACTAACCCCCAGCACCTCATCCTGTTTGCTCAGGATGCCCCCCCTCCCGCGCTCATGTGGGCAGGCCACAGGGCCTAACTGTCCGTTTCGTATACCCCAAGGATCAAATCCAGAGCCTTGTACACATTAGTCAGTACTCTACAGCTGACCCCAGCACCAGGGGTCAAAGGACAGCTGTGGTTACCCATTCTCTGGAGCCCCCATGTGGATCCTGGAAACCCAACTCAGGTTGTCAGGCCATCTCACCGACCCCTTCCCGGGCCGCCTCTGAGGGCCTGCTTTCTCAAGTGTTAGTGTGTCTGCTCTCTGGGCAGGTTCCTCTGAGAAGGGCGCCAGAGCCCACATGTGGGAGCCACTTCGAGCTGTCCTCGGCTCCACAACCTCTTACGCATGTTAGTAAGGCCTGCCTGCGAGGAGTCAGGAGGGCGGCGAGGACATACACCCAATGGGAAGGCACCCTCATGGAGTCCTCCGACCTGGGTTAGTCCCCCTGCAACAGGGTCCTTGGGGAGGGCAGCTGTGCAGCAGGGCTCACACAGAAGCATCTGGAAGGCAGCCTGCGGGAACTAGGTCTGACTTCTGCTTTCCTGTCTTCAGTGAGGGGCTGAGGCTGGCTTCCTGGAACTCACTGGGAAGAACACAGAAACCTCACTCACTGAGAAGGTTCTAGAAGCCAATGTACCTAAGCCTGGGTACGTGACCCAGTTAGTAAGCAAGGCGAATGCTCCGTGTTACAGGAGGACATAGTGAGACAGGTATGGGGATGAACAGAGGACCCAAGCACAGGGTGAGGGAGCAGATGTCATTAACACTAGATAGCCGGGCAGTGATGGCACACACCTTACTCCCAGTTCTCTGGGAGGCAGAGGCAGGAGGAGGTCTGTGTTCCTTGTTTACAGAGTGAGTTCTGCAAGTGAGACCTTGTCTCAAAAAACCAAACTCCAAACTGTAGATTTTTCTTGTTTAGTGTTGAGGCATTAAGTTATAGCTAACGACAGTCGGAACTCAAAGCAATCCTGCCCCCACTGCCACACCAGGCCAGGCTCACAGCCCTGAAATTCGGGCACAGGGGATGTGGGGTGGAGTCCTATACCTGTCATAGGTCCCCATACGGCTGCGGTGTGTTCTACGTGCTAACCAGGCAGGGTGTTCCCTGGGACCTAGCTGCAAGATTGCACCAAGACCAGGCCACAATGCCAGGGCCGCCTGCAGCCTGGCACCCAGGCTCCAGCTGAGACACAAGACAGCACAAACTCTCAGGCAGCTGGCTTGAAGTCTTTGTTTTTCGAGATAGGCTTTCTCTGTGTAGCCCTGGCTGGCCTGGAACTCACTCTGTAGGCCGGGCTCATGCTAAAATGTTTTTGTCATCATTCTCACCATGTGTGCGGAGGAATGATGAGCAGCTGTGGGAACCGGTACACTTGGTACAACTCGCCCAACACTCATGGAGTCCTGGGCTCCATTCCCAGCACCCCAGTGGCTCTAACTCTGTTTCCAGGCTGAGACTCCTCTGGTCTCCGTGGGCACCAGGCACGCATGTGGTCCATACACAGAGGCAAATACCCACACACAGAAAAAATGTTTGAAAAAGGTGTGTTAAGCTGCAGTGTGTTTGCTCTCCCTGTGGCCCCAGCTTGCTTTACATGGGAAGCAGCTTGCCAGCCTTGACTTTCCATCCCCCTGCCTCAGCCTTCTCAGTGTGACATTTGCTCCACTCTCACCTTAGCGAGCAGGACCAGGAGACTCAGACACTCAGACAGACAGACAGCCATGCTCAGGGCTTAGGGCAGCTGAGTTGGGTGGCAGAGGAAGGGCTGGCTCCTTCCATGGTGCTTGCCTTTATTTTCCTAACACAAGAGGTAAGGGCTCAGGCTGGGGAGCGACAGACAGGCCCGCCATGGGCTGCACCTATGGCTCCAACGTGAAACTCAAACAAGCCTGGCAGAAGCCAGTCCTGCAAAGGACAAACAAGGCTTCAGAGGCAGCTCAGACTCTTCCAGAAACCGAGTCAGTGGCCAACCAGGGACTTCACTAGACCAGATGCCAAGTGGGGCTTCATGCTGTGGTGCCCAGAGGCCTTGCCCATCGTCCTGGGCTCCATTCAGGCTGCGGCCGCTCACTGCTTGCCTGCCTGCCGCCCTGGCTTCTTCTCGGCCTGGCCTCGGCCTGCACCTGGGATGCCACCCCGGCCCCGGCCACCAAAAACACCTGCAGAGGACAGAAGAGGTAGGAGCTGAGACAGCAGCATCCCTGTGCAGAGACGAGCATGTCCCTTTTGTGGCCTATGCCACCGTGCAAGGGGTCTGCAGGAGGCTCCGGCTGTACTGGACCCAGGGCAAGGCCATGCCTGTATCTCTGTCTCACTATCTGCCCACATGGGTCCACACAGCCATGCTCCTCATGGGGACTGCAGGCTATAGAGAGGCCAATGCCCAGGTGCCCCTCCCCCACTCCCTGGGGTCCCCACCTCGGCCGGCGCCACCCATGCCTCGGCCTTTCTGCTGCTTCTGCTGCTGCGGTCCCCCTCGCCCACGGCCTTTGGCAGCCTCCTCCCGAACCATGTCGATGATCTCATCAGGGATGCGAAGGTACTTGATGGTGCTGCCTCGGATGTAGCATTCGGGCATCCGCCAGAACTTGTCGCCGTCCTGTGGAAGGCAGGTGTCATGGCAGCACGGTCCATCCGGGCCGGCGATGCGCCCTCCCGGTGAGGCCACTCACCCGTGATGTGCAGATCACCTCACGCAGGTTGATGTTCATCCAGTTGTCGCAGCTCACCAGGTGCCCGTTGTACGTCTCCCCATTCTTCAGCTCTACCAGCTACGAGAGACCCTGTCAGGCCCAGCCAAGCAGCCAGACCCCACCTACCACAGCCGGTGCCCAGACACACCTGGCCTTTCATCCTGAAACTACACCCTTCTGTGCAACTCAACATGACCTTTAGGTGCTGGGTTCTCACTCATGTGCAAGTATTAAGATGAGCAGGTTCCCCCAATGTGCGAATAAACAGACACAAATTAAAACCCCGCACTAGCGGGGTAGGTGGCACACACCTGTGATCCCAGGTCTCTGGAGGCTAAGGCAGGAGGATAGTAAGGGGACAATGGGCAAGCCCAGTCTGGTCATCTACAGAAGGAATATTACACAAAGAAAAGGGACAGCTCTCCAAACTGCTGAGGGACACAGACAGACTTGGTCCTCACTCAGAAAAGCTCACAAGATGCAAAGGCAGGCAGGCACAGAGGCCAGATGGGCGGTGGCCAGGCAGGAGGGTGGGGGCTAGGCACAGGTGCTGAGGGGAATGGTGTCTACTTCAAGGCACTAGGAATGTTCTGGAATGAGACAGGTTAGACTCTGGCTGCCTAAGTCTGTGTCTATCTTGTGGTACTAAGAAGGAACACAGGCCTGGAGCATGCTGGGACACCTCTTGGCCACTCAGTCACACTCCTGCTACTCTTCAAAAGTTTGAGACAGTCTCACAAGCTGCCCATTCTGGCCTTCCACCAGTGGCAACCCTCCCTGTGAAGCCTCCCAGGCAGCTGGATGACAGGTGACACTGGGACTCTGGAGCTGGGACCAGGGGACCAGGCTACATGAGGCCTGCTGTGTCCAGCTTCTCCCTGAAGTCATTCTTTGAAGGTTTTTTGGACGTTTTAGTTTTTTTTTACATTTGTTATTCTGCCTGTGCACAGGGAGGGTGTGAACCTGGAGGATAGGGGACAGCTTCCGGGGAGTCAGTTTTCTCTTTCCGTCACCATGTGGGTCCTTGGGATTGAACCGAGGCCCTCAGGCTTGGAAGTAAGCACTCCCACCCACCGAGGCATGAGTGCTAGCCCTTCCAGCATGAGTTGCTCTTCTTTGAACTGGAAAGGACTAGGGCGTGGACACAAGAAGAGGTGGCCAGAGTGGGGGACTTACCATGGGGTGGTTCTGTGCTGTCTTCAGCAGCGATAAAGGAAGCTGGAAGGCAAGCACGGTGTGAGGGGCAGCCCCCAATGCAGGGACAAGTGCACAGGCATGGCTATCCACGATGCACATGCCTGCGTTCAGGTCACAGGGGGTGGCCACCTAGCACCACAGAGCGGGGTACAGCCCTGTCTGCAGGTAGCAACCTGGTCAGTTATTTATCTGGTCAGCTTTCTGTCACACAAGCCAGGCTGGCCTCAGCTGCCAGAATCCCCAGGCTGCATACCGCCGGATCCTGCTGCTTCAAGCCTGTCCCTGTGCTTCCAGAAGGGGTCTCTTGGAGCATCACCTGGGGCCCACGTGGAAGGGCTGTGGGCTGGGGCAGGACATGGTGACGGAACAGCAAAACCAACATAAACCAGGTGTGCTATGGCACACTGGTCAACCCAGCTGAGGTGAGCTGAAGCTGAGGCCACCCTGGGCTACATGAGACTTGTCTCCAAAACTCCCACAAACAAACAAACAAACAAACAAACAAACAAACAAACAGAGCTGGGTGTAGGGCGCACACCTTTAATCCCAACACTAAGGGGCAAAGACAGGTTAGCAGGGGTTATAGAGTGAAACCTTGTCTCAAAAAAACAAAACGGACTGGAGAGTTGGCTCAGTGGTTAAGAGCACTGGCTGCTCTTCCAGGGGACCAGAGTTCAATTCCCAGCACCCACACAGCAGCTCACTTCAGTTCCAGGCAACCTGATGAACTCACACACATATACATGCAGGAAAACAATGCACAGGAAAAAAAAAAAAAGGCCCAGACTCCTGAGGGCCATCATGTCCAGCATGGTGACTTTGGGTCATGAGGGGATGGGCAAGCCTGCAGCCTATGGCCCTGGAGAGAAGAGCTGAGAAGGCGGTAGTGAAAGGAAGTAAGGCTGGAGCCCACTTCCTGCAGAGGCTTCCTAGAAGGGCAGGAGGCTGGGACATAGATGGCCTTGTGAAAATAGGTGGCAGGTGAGTGGCCCTGATGGCTAGTGACAGTGGTATCCAGGCTAAACCCCAAGTAATTAAAAAGTGCTGCACAATGGTAGCCTGTGACTAAGCTCTGGAGAGGCAGGCCACAATCATTCTTGGCTAGAGTGTGAGGGCAATCTGGGCTACAGCGTGAGGGCAGCCTGAGCTACAGGAGACCCTGTTTCCATAAAGAAACAAATTAGAGAGATGGCCCAATGGTTAAGAGACTGGCTGATCTTCTAGAGAACCTGGGTTCAATTCCCACATGGCAGCTCACAACTATCTGTAACTCCAGATATACGGAATCCTGCACCTTCACACAGACACACATTGCAATCTACATAAGAATAAGAAATCATTACATTAATAGAGGAACAAACAGAATAGCTAAATCCTCAAAGAACATGGAAGAGCATGAGCTCAGGGGCCAACACTCCAAAACAAGACACACACACACACCTCTCACAGCACAGGCCTGGAGCTGGCTGTCAGGAAGCCACAGCGAGGCCCATCCTAATGCTGAACTTTTGTCCCTCCCGCCATGGCCCAGGGCACCCTTTCCCAGACTTTCCTTGGCCAATGCTGCTGAGCATGTCCTTCCTCTGGCCAGGCCCCTAATGATCACCCTGGGCTGCCGGCCTGTTTCCACCCACCACAGCAGAGGCCGCTCTGTAATTATGGGATGATTAGCACCAGTCTCCCTGGCTAGACAGGGATGAGTGTGGGTGTGGGCTCTGCTGGCAGAGGGGCAGTAAACACTTGATGAACACACAGGGGTGGGGGCACTGCCACTGGGGGCCCCAACACAGGTGCATCCTGTCCAACACAAAGTAAGGAAAGTGAGCTGTGGCGACAGGGTGCCACCCCGGGATGACAACCCAAAAAGGCTGTGGTAGCCACTGGGAGCATGTGGTCAGGGGTCTGTTTACACCCAGTAGGAGACAGCAGTGAAAGAAGTGGGGTTAGTGGAGAAATAGTAAGTGCTGTGACTGCAAAGGCCTGGGTTGTAGTATGAGCACCAGGACCCCCAAAAAAAACCCTCACATAGTAAAATGGGCCAGGGTGTACAGGGTGGCCGGGGTAGCCGCAGGCTTTGTGTGGGGATGGGGGGGGTCTATATCTCCTCCAAACAGGGCACCTGCAGGTGTCACAGCGACAGGCTCTGGACTCTAGTTCCAGCACCTCACATCAAAGGAGCCAGTTTCAGGAAAGGAAATTCCTTCTTGGCCACTCTTCAGACACTATGGCCAAGTGTGTGGATGAAATGGGTGGAGCACCGAGGCCTAGGGCTCCGAGTTCAGGTGTCTGGTGGGTGTCCAGCCCTGAATGTGCACCCAGTGGGGAGCCCTTTTCCTGTACCACAGACACCAGGTGTCACTCTGTAGTGATGGCAGGGTCAGCGTCATCCTCCACTACAAAAGGAATTCAGAGCCGGCCTGGGCCACGTGAGGCCCTGCCTCCAGTCCTGAACCAGATTTGGAGGTATATTCGTGTCCTCTCCGCACTCCAGAGGCTGAGACAGGAGGATCATGAGTTTGAGGCTAGCCTGGGCTACATTATGTCCAGTCTTAAAAAACCGAACCAAATTAACAAAACCAACCATCCTACCATGAAGAAATGAGGAGATGGACATGCCTGGCTCTCCTACCTTGCGCCAATCCAGCAAGGAGACCTGTCCTCCTACACGCCACTATGTGGTCACTCAGGTCTAAGGAGTTCCAGGACTGGGGAGGTCTGGGCCTGAACCAGGAGAAAGCACTTTTTTCTCTGAGCAGGACATGCTGTGTGTCCCAGAGAGAGAAACATCACTCTTCCTAGACTGGATTTTCAGCAAAAGGCTTAGGCAGCTGATATCAGACACTAGATAAAGGTTCAAGGCTGGCTAAGGAGCCCACGTGGAAGCTCAGCCCCGCCCACTTCCCGGAAACGAAGCATTCCTATCAATGACCGTAATAAAACCCGGAAGCGATTTTGTCCCTCTTCCGGCCGCAAAAAAAAAAAAAAGGGTCCGTGAGATAAACCCCCAATGGCAAAAGGCTAAGAACCTGGAGAGTCACCGGTCGCCTCCAGCCTTAGTTACCCCATATTTCAGCAGCCCGAAGTCCCTAAGCGCGCGCCCCACCGCCCCGCGGCCCTCACCATCTTCCCTGCGGAGACACTGCCTCCGCTGCACAACCGCTCGCGCTCCCGCCGGCGGCCCGCGGCCCGCGCCACTAGCCTGAAATGAACTGGCATAGACTCTGGCCAATCAGCGGGGGGCACAAGGGACAGTCACCCAATCGACGTGGGCTAAGGCGGTGCTACTGGCGCACGTCGTCCGGGTGCGCCGTATTCACACCGTGGGATTGAGGGGGCGGCCGTAAAGCGCGACACTGGAGCGACGCAAAAGGCCGCGGCTCACCGCGCGCCCACTCCCAGGGTATGCTGGGAAATGACGCCTGCGCAGACCTACACCGTTGGGTCTGGTTCGGCGCCACACCGTGGTCGAAGGTGGTTAGTGCTTGTCCATCGCAAGGGGGCAGGGTAAGCCCGCCCGGTGCCCACCTTTGCCCTCCTGGCCTTCCATCCTCGCCCTCGTTCTCTTTATCGCTACGAAGTCAAATAGAACCCGTGAACGCGACGACAGGCCCGGCCGCTTCCCCGGCCCCAGGAGGTGCTTTGAGACTGGGCACCCGAAGCTGATCATGAACCCGCAGCAGGCCTGCCTCAGCTCCTTAGTGCTGGCATGGCGGCTGTAGGCTACTAAGCGGCTCCTTGCTTTTCTTTGTCGTTTCATTTTCTCTTGAGACAGGGTTTCTTTATGCAGCCCTAGCCGGCCTCGAACTCACCGCCACCAGCACGCTGCTTGTTTTAATGCGTCTTCTTGACATCCAAACTCAGATTCTCATGCATTATCCCCATGGAGCCTTCTTCCCAGTCCTTTTATTTATTCTTATTTTCTTTGGCTGCTGGAGATGGAATCGGAGCTTCACCCTGAGCTGCCCCAGCTAAGGCAGCTACTTTACCAAGCTGCTGAAAGGGCCCTGGCGAGAATGTCAGTGATGAGAGTTCCCCTGTGCCTATCAGACCCTCTGACCTGGGAGACTCCCCTGGTGCCACTACCAAGGGCTCTGCCAGTGAAGTGAGATGTGTGCGCTAGGACTGCAGCTCAGCGGAAGGGGTGAAGGCCCCGAGCTCTGGCTCCGCACCACTAAAAAGAAAAGAAAAGAAAAATCAGTAAGTACTAAAGAGGAGAACTGGAGCACGTGGTGCCGGATGATTGTCATCTCAGCACTGAGGAGGTGGAGGCAGGAGGATCAGGAGTTCAAGGCCATTCTCTGCTACACATTCAATTCAAGAACAGCCTGTCTATGTGACTCTGTCACCAATAAGCAAAACAAAACAAAGAGGAATGTGACAGGGGACCCATTGAGCTCATGTCTGAGGTTAGGGTGGCACTCCAGAATTCAGCTGTGAGATGGGGGCCAAAAGATTTGTGATGTCTCCTATGGGGATGAGGATCTGAGACACCCAGGGAAGGAGTACCCATGATGGGGTCTTTGCACCCAACAGCAAGACTGGGTGGATGTCAGCCTTCCCGAGGAGGATTGGCTAGCTCACGCTTCTCCTCCTAGTCAGAAGCCTTGAAACCTGAGGTGCTGTGCGGGGAAGCTCAGGAACAATTCTCCTGGGTAAAGGGACCTGGGCAAAGCTGCCTGCAGGCTACAAAGGAGGAAATCGCAGGCTGGGCCACCCCTTTGTACCTTTCCTAGACTTTTCTCTGAAGTCTTCCATGCCCATTTCCAATATTCCCCTTCTAGCTTGAAACCTCTGCTTGGATGCCCCATTTGGCAAAATTGTGTCACTTCAACTTTAGTTAGATAATTCCTCTATTTTCCTGTTTTGTTTTGTTTTCTCCCTTCAACAACGGAAGATATAGCCTAGGGCCTTACCCATATGCCGTGACCACAAGTTTGCGTTAAGAGGGGTCCCTGAGGCTATAGCAGGAGGGTTCAAAGGACAGGAAGGGTGGGAAGAACAAGGCAGGGCTATACCCAGGGTTAACTTGCTTTATTGAACGTGGAGAGTTTTCTAACCCGGCTCCCTGCACTCTGTCCTCTGCAAAAACCTGGGTCCTGTGTGCGTGATGGACAGGCAGAAACCTAGCAACAGCCTCAAAAAATGACCTCACGCCTAGCTTCTCTCTGTGCCTACAGCTCAGACAACATACCCTCCAGCCTTACACAGCCAGTGCTGAGTCTCCAAGTGTGGCCTGGGCACTCAGGTGCCAGTTCTTCCAAGTAGAGAGACTGTTCTAAACTCAGAACTGGGCCTGCGAAATGGCTCAGCAGGTAAAGGAGCTTGCTACCAAGACTGATGACCTGAGCTCAATCTCTGGTACCCACATGGAGGACCCCCCCACACACAAAAATAAATAAGAAAAATGTCTTTTTTTTTTTTTTTTTTTTTTTACATTTAAAAGAACAGCTTTGTTTTGTAGTATTTTGGTGTCTTGTATGCATATATGCCCACATGTGGGCCTCCAGAGGCCAGAAGTGCCATCATGGTCTACACTACTCCATCTTCGTTTTGAGGAAGAGTCTCTTAACCTCACCTGATGCTTGCCTTTCTGGTTAAGCTGGCTGGCCACTGAACTCGTGGCACCTAACTGTCTCCTGCTCCCCAGAGCTGAGGCATGTGCAGCTGTGTCTGGCTTTTAGATGGGGATTCTGTTCGGGGCTTTTTGCTTACGTGGCAAATGCGGTTACCCCACTGGGCCATCTTCCTTAGGCCCCAAAACAAATAACAGGGCACAGTGGCTCATACCTGGTGTCATACTCAGGGTTTCTATTGCTGCAACAAACACCATGACCAAAAAGTGAGTTGGGGAGGAAACGGTTTATTCAGCTGTTCATCACTGAAGGAAGGACAAGAACTCAAGCAAGGCCTGGAGGCAGGAGCTGATGCAGAGGCGATGGAGGGCGCTGCTTACTGGCTTGCTCGCCTGCTTATAGAACCAGATCACTAATTGAGAAAATACCTTACAGCTGGATCCCAAGGACACATTTTTCTCACTGAGGCTCATTCCTCTCTGATGACTGTAGCTTGTGTCAGCTTGACACAGACTGCCAGGACACAGGGCTAGAGAGATGACTCAGTGGCTAAGGACTGTGTTCTTCCAGAGGTCCTGGGTTCAATTCCTACCAATCATATGGTGGCTCACAGTCGTCTATACCTGCAGATGATGTCCTCTGCTGATGCCTACTACAAGCATGGAGGTGTGCATGCAGATAGAACACTCAAACAAACAAATATTAACAGACGAGGAGCGCCAGGACACCTGTCATCGCAGCACATACACTGTGAGGCAACGGGGCTGCATGAGTGCTAGCAGGGGTGGGGTTCAGGGAGACGGGCTAGCAACCGCAAGCGCCCCCTGTGCGGTAGCAGCATGGGAGACAGGGCTCGCCAGTCTTCTCGAATAGACTGAGCCCTGCTCCGGGGCTTTGTGTGTATGGCTGCAGTCTCCACACCTGTAGCTGGGGGGCCTCGAGGCCCAGTGGGAAGCTACTGTTGTTTGCCTAAATGGATAGGAAGGGGGAGAGGATGGAATGGATGTGATGGAAATGTGTCAGATGGAAGCCATCATCCTGGGAGTGAACACAGCACCCAAGAAAGAAGCAGGGTTGTTGCCATAAAGTAGGGGCTAGCCTCTGCTACATAGCAAAACTGCCTCAACATAACCAGAGCCAAACGTAACATAACAAAGGAAGTGACAATTCCGACCTTGTCTGTGGGCCACATTCCTGCTACCCCTTTCCTCTGGTTACTCTTCAGGAGCAGAGGCAGGGGCATTGCTCTAAGTTTGAGGTTAGCCTGGTTTGCATAGCAAAACACTGGTGTGATAAGAAAATGTCCAATTGTTCTATTTTACCAACAAAGACTCAAGAACTAGATGTTGGGATAAAAACCGACCAGCACAGAGAGGCAAAGAAAGCACCCAGCTAACCTTTCTACTCAGCTCAGCCCGAAGGAAAAAACCAAAATCTCAAAACCCAAAGCTTGCTAGCTCAGCTGTCAGACTAGGAGGAGAAAGCCAAAAGCTAAAAGCTTTCTTCTTCTCCATGCTGTCTTAAACACCCCTTCTCAAAGTCCCTCCTACATACTTAATCTCTGTCTGTCAACTGGTTTCCTGCTCCAGCCTCTTGACCTAGGGTTAACTTTATTAAATGCTGTGTATAGAGAAAGCTCTTGGATTAAAGGTGTGTGCTAGGGCTGAGCCACACCATAATCACCTGTTTACAATAAAAAGTTCCAGGATTTAAGGTGTGTGTTAGAAATGAACCTCACCAAACAAGAATCAGGTTTTTATAGTTCACAGTCTCAAGGTTCCCAATGGGCTCAAATACCCTGTAACAAAAGCACTTCTGAAAACAAAGGGAGAGAGAGAAGGAAAGGAAGGGTAGGGTAGATGGGTATGATCATCATGTCTTTAATCCCAACACTCAAGAGGCAGAGCCAGGTGGATCTGTGAGTGTGAGGCTAGCCTGGTCTACATAGCAAGTTCTGGACCAGCCAGGGCTATGTAGAAAGAAGCTGTCTCAAAAACAAAGTAAAAGGAACAAAAGGTGGGGGCTGCAAGATGGCTCAGTGACTTGCTGTCAAGACTTGGAGATGTGGTTTATGCCCAGAGGGAGGGAGTAAATTAGGGGCCCTTAGCTCTCGCCAAGGTTTGTGGCGGGCAAAGATCTCTTACACTCTGTCCCAGGAAGACCTGGCTGAGGCCTGGGAGCCGCAGCTGCTGGCTGCACTTGTCCTGTTTCTTCAGGGTGTTCACAGAGTGTTCCAAATGATGGCAGGGTGCGGTGTAGCTCCAGGCCTCCAGGGGAGTGACGGGCTGATGCCAGCCAGGGTGCCAAACAGCCC